TCCGTTCGGGCTGATTTTCGCTCTAATACGACCCCCTTTTGTAATCCGAATCCCCCATTAAATGAACAAATAAATACAAAGATTTCATACACTTGGGGTTTTGTCAAAGCTGTAGGCCATCTCTTGGTGGTTCGGATCATGAGGTCTTTGTCTTTTGTTGCGTGTCCTCCCAAGCTTTGAGACATATTCGCTGGCCTTTGGGTAGCAGAAAATGATGCAGCGGATCCCTGCACTAACAATAACCTGTTCCTTCATCCCTACCACAAAGAAAAAAGAACAGTGGAGGGGTTCAGGATGTAAGTAGTAATCTTTTCTCTGTCCTTGCTTGCTCTTGATTGTAGTTTATTGTCTAGATTTGCCCTGCTTCTGCATCTTTGCTGGCCCTGACTGCGCGAATGACCTGGAGCTTTCGGAGTCATCAAATTGAGTTTCCTCGATGTACGGGGGCCACTGATTCCAAAAACCCTACACCGGAACCCCGAAACCCCAAACTCCATATCTCCCTAGATACGCCCACCCCTTTGACATGTTTCGTGGTTTGATTGCTTCTGGATCCAAGCGTTGATGTGACAGGCGCATTGACCGTGTGCTGCAGAAATTTCAAGAGAAATATCCAGAGCAACCAGTCTTGGAGGACCCGTTGCTTGCCAGCAAACGGTTCACGAGTTCGTACTCTCCATGAAATTCGGTGCTATAGGTGTTGCGGTTTCTGCCATGGTGCTACCCTTGCTCATCGGCATCGCGCTGCTCATTTCCCTAGACCCTAAACCACTGTTTCGTTTTTACTTCTTGGCGTTCTCAGTACATTCGCAGCTTCCCCGAAACAAGTTGTGGTTTCCGTTTCCAGGAACAGCTGCTCTTAGACTTTGGATGCTTCCCTGATGTTGAAGGTCAGCTCTCTTTTCCGGGCTCACAGCGAGCAAGAGATGTAGCCCCTCCTGGTATCCCAAGAAAGAGCCTGATCTGGTTCAACCACTAAAAAGACATGACCCGCATATGTTGGGACACGTAGCTAATGTTGGGGCGAGGGGTGGTGGTGAAAGATCCAGGATGGAACTTACTGGTTGCATGTAGGCAATGGATGGAGGAACGGATCCTCATAGTAGCCCCCGTTCGCTGCCCAGTCTAGTGGTTTCCATTTTCTTTTGCAGTTGCTGCAGCAACGCATTCAACATATGAGCTACTGTCAATATTAGCCTTACTAAGGGACCCTTAACAGTGGACATAGGGTCCCTCCTGTATTTTAGTATAATCCTTAATATAGTCCCTAATAGCGAAGCGATGTCCAGGAGATTCCCAATAAAGGTAAGATTAGATCCTGTTTTCGGTTCCAGTTTTTGTATAAGTCAACTCAGTTTTAGAACTCGGTTCAGCCACAAGAAAGCACCTTTCTCCTGGGTCCACCTACTACCCCCCTATACTTCCCCTGACCTATGTTCCACTGAATTAACCTTAGTAAAGTTTAGTTTGGCTTATATATCCTGCCTTAATCAACGGTAACCTTGGGGGGAGTAGTAAGGCGGGATTGTCGTAGGAGGGCCGATGACTTTCCTATGCGGCTGAGGCCGTGCGACTTCGATCTTACCAAGTTCTACCCGAACTTCCCGAAGGGCACTTTCGGCTGAGCTGCACACATTACGCGTTGATGAATGCAGAAACCTTCGACCCTAACCTTCAAAGCTTTATTTCTCCAAGCTGTCTCCGCATCAATTGGTGGTTTGGTAGGCTTTGTCAGTCAAGGGTTTCCAGCTTAGACCTTGGAGATCTTTGAGAGTAGTGCATTCAGTGGGGATACGTGGGAGCCCCCGTGGAGATTGAGATGAAATGAACGTTGTACTGTTTGAAGAGCGCATCTAATGTGATGTTGCCAGTAGCAAGTCAGTCGGTGCTAGGTGAGTCTTAGAGATTAGCTTTTACAGACAAACTCTTTTGGGGCGGGGGGTGCGAAAAGGGGTACGGTAAGCTAGTAATCTCCAGCAATGCTCCCTGGTCCTCCCAAAGACTCCCAAAGGCTCCCTAGGTAGCTCCTCCCTGGAGCCATCCCCCACCCTAAACCCTAAGTCCCAAACAAAATTTTCTCATATTATAATATTGTAATATTATAACATTATCATATTATCATATGATTAGGACCTTGTAAACAGGGAGTCAAGGCTTCGCGCTTGCACATTCAACGCCCGCTCTGTGCTAGGGGGGCGACTTTCCAAAGTGGAGGTTGCCCAGCTGCTACACAGTCCTGTTGTCAGGGCTGTCCTTTTCCGGGGTTCCCAAGAAGAGAGGGCTTAGCGTTTAGGGTTTTCAGCAGCTCGAACACTGCTTGGTCAGAAGGTATGGTTCTGTCATTATTTCCGATTGTTCTGATCGCGCCCAGAGCAGGAGAGAAACCCGTCTTGCTTTTCGGGATTCCTTTAAAGTGGGAAATTCCCAAGATTAGTTTCCCATTTTGGTACCCCTAAATATTAGGTGCCGTAACATAATCTATGACCAAAAAAACCCATAAGTTTGAGAATAACCAAAAATCCAAAAAATGCAATAACCCAAGTGTTGTGTAAGTTGAAGGATGCCTGCAATCCCCGAAAACCTGAGCCCTGAACTAAGTCCAGAGTCTCAAGCATGGAGTCATGCTACTCTGAGAAGGTAAGCTATAGTCCAAACTCCTGAAAGGCCTGAAAGGGGCTTATATAAGGGATCGTATAGGGGAGTATTATAGGGGTTATTAAGGGGAACACTCGGAGTTTAGAGTGTAGCTCAGGTGAGGGGGAGATTTCTCGTGCTTGTTTTGTGGGGCTACCACCGGCATACACTCCTCATTCCCAATCAAGCTCTAAACCTATACTCCAGACCCTGAAGCCCGAACTCTACACCCTAAACCTACATGTATACTCCAAGCCCTGCACCTGAAACTCAAAACCCTAGAAAATGTTTGAACCCCTTAAAGCCGTATGAGCCTTATGAACCCTAAACCTTACGGCCCTCTTTTCAGGGATCTTCATCCCACGCTAGTTCCCAAGCCATGCTCTTTGCTGGCTTCCCACCGACGCTCTGCCACGTGAGATGGACGGTCCATATGGTTGAGGGCTGAGGGTTCAGGGAGTAGGGTTTAGGATTAGGGTTTAGGGCAGTTTCGGCATTAAAGCCCCAGGTACAACTGGTACTGCATTGGGTTAAGTTTACCCTGAGCCTCCAAGTACACCCCAAACGCTGGTTTCCAGACCCTGTGGCTCACTCCCTACGCCCTAAACCCTCAACCCTAAACCCTAAATTCCCACCCGGCCTGCTTAGGCCATTCCCACCCATTACTAAAATGGTCAGACACTGAAGAAACACGTCAACCTTCACACCCGTACTGGGTAAGACAATGGGAGGAGCCTATGGAGAGTGGACGTATAGAGCCCCTCCGAGCCCTGCCTCCAGCCACCCCAGTGGGCCAGATCTATACAATGTACATTGATTTTCCCCTTGAAGTCAAGGACAAAAGCCCAAGAAAGACGGTCCCCCATATTTTCAGCCTCCTTGCAAGGGGCCTTAGGGGGGAGGTCCTGGCCCCTCTGGGAACCCATGGAGGGCTGGAGCCTGCAGCCTTGATGACAGGAAATCAAAGGCAAGAAGACGATCTGATTTGAGGTGGGAATTGAGGGCGTAGCCTTAAGCCCTAACAGGAACTAATTTGGGTGGTAGCCTGTGATGTCTCACAGCAGGTGGGGATTTTGAAGAAAGCCCAGCTTCGATGGCTTCTTGGGCAACATCCACAAGGTTCACTGGGCGCAGGATATGCCGCCACCCACAGAACCCTGGAAGTGGGGTGGCGCCATCGGCGCATGGATACTCAGCCCTGCGCAGGTAAACGCCCTAAACCCTAAACCCTAGATTGCGGATGCCAATGAGTTGGTGCCACGGTTCCATCATTAAGTGTGATTTAGATTTACAAGCCTGAAGCTGAGGGAAATCAATGATCATCCCAAAGTCTAAGTACCACCTTATCTCCAGAAACCTCTTTATCCCAAACCCTAAACCTTATACCCTACCCACCACTCCCCAAAGATCCTAAACCTTTAGGGATACTTCTTTCATTCTCCTGTGGACTGGTATCTCAAGGAGCCTGCGAGGCACAGCAGTCATCGCTCAATCAGCGATACTTTCAAAGCCTGTGCGCTGAGAAAAACGAGATCGTGGCCTGATCTACTCCAAACCCCTAAACCCTGAACCGCAAACCCTAAACCCTAAACCCCAAACCCAAAAGCCTAAAGCCTAGCCCCTAAACCCTAAACCTTAGTCCCCCTGAAGGATCCCAACAGAATATAACCTGTAAGATAGGTGTAGATATATATCTCTTGAAAACTGAAAGCTAAATCTAGCAACTACCAAAGAAAGATGCATAATGTTGGGACACCCTATCTCAGGGTCCTGGTGAAGGTTACTTATGTGTCAGTGACCTTTTTTTGTTTTGTGGTGTAGGGGCGGGGTGATTTTTGGACGTCGCTTTGGGCGTACGCCTTTCAGTGTTGGCTTGTGATTTTTTTGTGCAGTTGTTCGAAACCCTAGAACAATGCTCACCGATTTGGAACCTTTACAGCCCTAGACAGACCTTGAACCCCAAACACAAGTTTCAATATTTGCACATGCTCAGGGACGGCTGAGGGAATGAAGCAGTGAAACAGAATCATGGGAAACATTATATTATCAGGGTTATGTAGGGATCACTACAAAGAAATGGGTTTAGGATTCAGGTCTTCATTCCTTGCTAAGCAGAGTCAAGCTTCCAGGGGTTCCACTCAGGATGAGCGCGTGGACCCTACATGGGATTTTAACGAAATCATTTATCCTGAACGAAGACACTCTGAACAGCATAGTGTTGGTACTGCCCCGACCAGTAACTGCCAGATAATAAGTGGATTACGCTAAAATATACAGCCCCTGATACCTCCCCTATTAGAGACTGTTATTGGTGGGGGCAGTATGCAAACTATACATCCGTTGCATTCCCTGGGTCCTCCGCCTTTTGGAGTGAACCCAAAAACGTAAAATTACTTATCTAGGGAAATCATGTGGGTAATTCCCAAAATTATGGGCCACTTTTGGTTATAGGCTATATTACCGCACGTACTTTTCAGGGATACCAAAATACTACCCTAATTTTGGGTTCTACCCATGTTCAGACGAGATTTTCAAAATCTCAGTACAAGCAGGGCAATAGCAAATCCGCAAGTGGACAAGCATTGGGGAAGTAGTGTCAATGTCTCCGCTTCTCTATCCTGACCCCTAAGCCCCAAACCCCAAACCCCAAATCCCAAACCCTAAACCCTCAACCCCTCGAAACCGCGAAGTGGAAGATCGACGCCAGGGGTGCCCTCTCTCCCCATCGTTGCTGCTTCACTGGCGAGGAGCTCAGACAAACCCTGAACCCTACAAACGGTCACACTGTGCACTGGGTCTACAGAAAGAGTAGTGTAGGAACCTGTACCGACACTGTCCCACCATAATTCTTCCAAAGCACCCCGAAACCTTGTTTGAAATTGTTTAGGCCTCCTCATTACACCTGTAGTCCTAAACCCCTATAAAACCCCTATATAACCCTATACTCCCTATAGCCTCCATTTTCTTTTCCATTATCCCTATACAACCCCAATATAACCCCTATAATATATAGTAGTACTGGAGTTCCAGATGTGCTTTGAGGGCTTGCACTTCGCATCCGGTTATACCACGCAGTACTGTAGAAGCTCGAAAAACTTTCCAATATTCTTGCGAAAGGATCCTTACATGGCTCAAGAATACTAAGCAGCAAAACCCTATTCCAGCTGACTAGGCGACTCACATCTTGTGCTCCAGAGTGTATAATCAAAATGTTTAGCATCCTGAGTGACTCGCAAGAAGAAGTGACTATGATTTTGGCAGCTACGGCTGCTGCACGAAATCCTGCACCATGCTCGGCACCCCTAAACTCTAAACCCCAAGTCCCAGCAGTCACCTGGGTTTAGGGTTTAGGGCTTAGGGCTTAGGTTTAGGGCTTAGGGCTTAGGTTTAGGGCTTAGGGTTTAGGGCTTGGAGTTCAGGTTTAGAGCTTAGGGTTAAGGTTAGGGCTTCGGGTTTAGGGTTTAGTGCTTAGGATTCAGGGTTTAGGGCCTTGATCAACAGTAGCCATGTGACCACGCCTGGGGTTCAGCTCATGAAGAGGTGACGGTTTCAAACAACAGGCTGGTTGTACAGATCCCAGGTATAGCTGGGTTTCTCAGTAACACGTCTAGTATAAGCCACATAAGGATTCCATAGCTAGTCATACTTGGGGCCCGTACGTTTCTGGGGGACTGCTTTCCTTAAATTCCTACATATGGGTATTGGAAGAGGACTTTAGGTATCGCCCTACAGGAGTACGTAAGGGGTATATAATCACAGTTTCCATGTAATGTTCCATTTTTTTTTGCATTCGGTTCTGTTTTTGATAATGATTGCCCTAGACACTTTAAGATGTGGAGTGATATACAGGATTTAGGGTTGGGGTGTCACTTTTCCCAGACGAACATGGACTCCCATATAGCCTCCAATAGAACTGGACAGTAGTTGTAGCAAGGGCTAGTTTGAGGTTCCGGGATATAGTCCCCCTTAATTAGATAGAGTATGGCGTATT